TTCCACAAAATTTTGAATGATCTTGCATCACTTAATCACGTTCTTTCTCCCAAAGAAAAGAATGTAAGGTTACTCAGATCTCTTCCAACTGAGTGGTACACCAAGGCCATGTTGGCCATGTGTGCAGCAATTGTCCCGTGGCGGAGGCTATGTGGGCCAAGTCACAATCGAATGTCGTGGGTGCTTGTGTGATGAATGCACTATAAGGCAAGGGTATGCGCTTCTTCTAACACCAATTGGTTTTAAAAGAGTTGGTAGCGCTTGAGGTCCTACAAGTGGTATCAGAGCCAAGGTCACGAGTTCGATTCCCAGCGGGAGCAATTGCTGAGGGGGAGATTGTTGGCCATGTGTGCAGCCATTATCCCGTGGCGAAGGCTATGTGGGCCAAGTCACAATCGAATGTCGTGGGCGCTTGTGTGATGAATGCACTATAAGGCTAGGGTATGCGCTTCTTCTAACACCAATTGGTTTTAGAAGAGTTGGTAACGCCTGAGGTCCTACAGGCCACAGCCATGGAAGAAGGAAGAAACTTGGAGAACTACACAGTCCAAGGTCTCCTTGATGAGCTCAGAACCTAGGCGCATGAGCTGAAGAAGAAGAAGGAAGAACAAGTCACTCCCTTCCCCACGGCATTGATAACAACTCCAAGAGTCCCATCAAGTGAAGGGACATGCCCAAGAAACTGTGACACACCTTCCTCCAGCCAGCCGTCAAGCTCAAAAATGGAGAACTACGATGAGGAATTTTCCATGATGGTCAAACAATTGCAGAAGTTCAAGAAGTTCTTCAAGAAAGCTTACTTAGTCAGAAGGCCATCCAAGGGAAAGCCACAGGTAAGTGACTCCCCTCCTGAATCTTATTTGTGTTATAACTGCATGAAGCCTGGCCATTGGAAGTCAGCATGCCCGTACCCAAAAGTGGGAAGTACGGAGAAAGAGAAAGGAACGAGAAGAAAAAGAAGGCAATGGTTGCAGCTGAAAGTGATGAGTCATCCAGTTCAAGCTCGGATGAAGAAGCCCTCATCTGCATGGAGCGCAGAGCTGAGAAGTCCAACCATGAAGACCGGTGGACTATGTCAGAAGATGACACTCTCTACTTAATGGCCAAAGATGATTCTGATCAAGAGGTAACTTCACAAACTTCCTGCTCATCTTCTTGTGAAAGCATACCAACTTCTGAAAATCTTTTTGACCAGTTCAAAAAGATCATGGAAGATTTTGAGGAAATAAGTCTCAAACACTCATCCTTAACAGAAGAGAACAAGCTATTGAGTGAAGAGAATCTCAAGTTGACTGAAGGTCAGAAAAGTCAACTAAGTGAGATTACTCAACTCAAGGCTGAAAATGAATCTCTCTCTAAAAAGGTTAAATCCCTCAACAAGGAGCTAGGGATACTTAAGCCCAAAGAAGCAGTGGATAAGCTCCTTGAAACGACCAAACATAAGGGTCGTGAAGGACTTGGGTTTGACCCCTCCAGTTCCAAAAGGAAAGGGAGAACAACTTTCATCCCTCCTAAACCTACTGTCAAAACCAATAAGAAAAAAGGAAAGGAAAAGGAGAAACCCACAGAAGTTCCCAAAAAGGTAGTCCCTCCTAAGAACTATAGGAAGCTGGACAGACCTCCAAAAGGAAATAATTTCAGAAGAAAACCTTCTAACCCCCAATATACACGAGGCTATACTCATTATGGGGTAGATAGGAGTTTTCCAAGAAATTCTGAGCGGAGAACTATGCCAAGATATAGTCATCCTCCACTCAAGAAACTGTTTGTTCCACCCAAGTATGCTTACAACCGTCACAGGCCACACTATGCACAACCTAGACAAAACTATAGGTCTTATCAACCTAAGTTTGCTAGGAGGAAACATGAAATTACAACCTCTTGCTCGTAGGAAATTTTATGCCTACAATTATGATTACAATCGCAACAAGTTTAGGGCTGCAAGGAAAATTCCCTGCAACTTCAAACTTGATGTAGGGACACACACTATTAACTATTCCGGACCCAAACTTAATTGGGTTCCAAAGTCTTCCTCCTTCTAATGCAGAAAGCCGCTAAGTACCCAGGTGTCTAGAACTTAGACAGTGGCTGTTCAAGACACATGACGGGTGATGCAAGCCTTTTGAGCAATCTAATTCCCTATGATGGCCCAAGAGTTACTTTTGGAGGAAGCAATGATTTTGGCCTTACTAAAGGGCTAAGATATCTGGTGTACAAGGGACTAACCATCTAAGCTGTATCTTATGTGGAAGGTCTCAATTACAACCTTCTTAGCATAAGTCAGTTTTGTGATAAAGGTTATTCTCTAGAATTCTGCAAGGACATGGCATCCCTCAAGAACATCTCCACAGATGAAGTCGTTCTCACTGGGAAGAGAATCAGGAACATTTATGAAGTGATATGGGACGATGTCAAGGAAGCATGCCTAATCAGCAAAGGTGACACTAACCTTCTATGGCTTTGGCATAAGAGGTTGAGTCATCTCAACTTCAAAACTCTCAACAAGCTATCCAAAGAAGGGTTAGTATAAGGCCTTCCCAAAGCTGTATTCAAGAAGGAAAGCATTTGTGATGCTTGTCAGAAAGGAAAGCAAGTCAAGTCTACTTTCAAGGCAAAACCGGCACCCTCAACTACAAGGATATTAAGTCTTATTCACATGGACTTATTTGGCCTTGTTACTTCAATAAGTCTAAGTGGAAAGAAATATGTCCTGGTGGTAGTTGATGATTACTCAAGATACACGTGGACAATCTTTCTCAACGGCAAGAAGGAAACTCAAGGGAAACTCACAAATTGCATGGAGCTGATTCAAAACCAAGCAAGTCAGACCATCCAGAAGATCAGAAGGCATAGAATTCCTGAATGAAATCATCATTCATTACTGTGAAGAAAATGGAATTCTTCATCAGACATCCGCAGCCAGAACAGAATGGTGTAGCTGAAAGGAGGAACAGAACCTTGAAGGAAGCAGTGAGAACCATGTTAGCAGAAGCTTTCTTGCCAAACGCTACTTCGGGGAATGCACAATTGGTTGCCGTGGAAGAGATAACCGTATTTGAGGAGGTAATCTCCATTAGGCCGAACTAGGCATTGTGCGTACGCCTCCTTGAAATCTTCATCTTCCTTATAAAGCTTCTGTAAACAATCAAAACCAAGAAGTTTGGAACTAAGTACCGTTAGTAATAAATGCCTCCGCGACAACGCATCGGCGCCTTTGTTGAGGGTCCCATTCTTGTGTTTGATGGTAATGGTGAACGTTTGAAGATATTCAACCCATTTGGCATGGCGGGGTCGAAGCTTATATTGCCCTTGTATGTACTTCAATGCCTCGTGATCGGAGTGAAGGATGAACTCCTTGCTCACGAGATAGTGCCTCCAGTGCTCCAAGGATCTCACCAAGGCGTAAAACTCCTTGTCATAAGTAGAATATCTTCTCCTTGTCTCATTCAGCTTCTCACTAAAGTATGAGATCGGGTGGCCTTCTTAGGTGAGAACCGCTCCAATGCCTACGCCCGAGGCATCACACTCGACTTCGAACAGCTTCTCGAAGCTAGGGAGGGCTAACACGGGAGCTTGTGTTAGTCGTTCCTTGATAGTTTCAAAGGCTTGTTGGGCCTTCAAATTCCACTCTAACTTTTGGTGCTTCGTCAAATCGGTGATAGGTGCGGTTATGGTAAAACTGACTTTTCTCCAAGTTTCCATACAACTTTTCTTCATCCAACCTCTTAATCACCAAGGTAAGGTGATTCATATGCTCTTCTTCGCTCTTACTGTAGATCAAGATGTCGTCAAAGTAGACAACAACAAAATGACCAAGAAAGGGCTTTAGGACTTGATTCATCAATCTCAATGAAGGTACTTGGTGCATTTGTAAGGCCGAATGGCATAACTAGCCATTCATATAGTCCGAATTTCGTTTTGAAAGCTGTCTTCCATTAATCTCCTTCGAACATTCGGATTTGATGATATCTGCTTCGAAGATCTATTTTCGAAAAGATCTTGGAACCATGGAGCTCGTCCAACATGTCTTCAAGCCTAGGTATGGGATACCTATAATTCATTGTAATTTTATTGATGATCGGCTATCACAACACATGCACCACGTTCCATTTTTCTTAGGTACCAAGAGTGCCGGGACAGAAAATGGACTTAGGCTCTCTCGAACAAACCCCTTAGCAAGTAGTTCATCCACTTGCCTTTGCACCTCTTTTGTTTCTTCCGGATTCATGCGGTAGGTAGGTTTGTTAGGTAGGGCAGCCCCTGGAATAAGGTCGATCTTGTGTTGTATGTCTTGTTTGGGGGGGAGGCCGTGAGGGACTTCCTTGGGAAAGACATGGGTGAAATGATCAAGAATAGTTTGGGCAAGAGGGTGAATGGGTTCGGTGGAGGGTAGGTTTTCAGCCTCCTCTTCTTCAAAGAGGATAAGTTCTTTTTTGGTACTACGTTCATGGTGTTCAGCTTGTAGGATGGTGGAAAGGAGGATGGGTGGTTCTTCTTTTGGTGGAGTTGAGGCCGTGGGTTTTGAAGGGGGAAGAGGGGTAAGGGTGACTTTCTTCTTGTTGATGATGAAAGAGTAGGTGTGGGTGATAAGCCCGTTTCTTTCTTATCATTTACATCATATTCTAAACGTTATTGCACGTAAATAGTATTTAATCATCTCATAAAATATGAATTTAATGGATAAAACTCTCATTTTCGTTCTAAGAGTCATAAAAAGGGATTCCACACGAAATCATCATAAATCATTCATTTTTGTTCAAGTATTTGAGAAAAAGGAAATAAATCATCAAGGGATCAAGATTCGGACTTGAACGAGCTTCCGAGAGGTCAAAAACAGTGTTCGGGGCCAAAACAGAGCGAAATTGGGCCAAAATCACGAAACAGCCGCGAAGCCAAACGGACCAAGGCCTCCAGGCGTCCAACTTGGACGCTTGGCCAAGTTGGACGCCTGGGCTAGATTGCAATCCAAGAAAGACACGTGGCAAAATCTGGTTGGCCAGAGCAGCTCAAGCGTCCCGATCTGGACGCTTAGACTTGGACGCTTTGACTTGGACGCCTTGGCTTCGTTCCTATAAATACAGCGCGATTCTCCCCATTCAACACATGACTTTCACTCCCATTTTCGGGAATTGAGCCTTATATTCCAATTCCGAGTATTAGTTTAGTATTTTAGTAGTTTTAAAGTAATTTTTGGAGGAATTCTACTCCCGATCTGTTCAATTTCGCTTGTACGGAAGTTGTAAGTTCTCTTTACTTAATAAAATGCTGTTTTAATTTATGTTTGCATAGTATGAGTTAGGGTCCGGATCTCTGGGTCTGGACTAGTTTGGTTGTTTATTTTTGATGTTAAATTAATGTTGGAATGGTTAATCCATTGTTCTTGCCTTATCTGGTTAATTAATATCGGAAGATTTAATTGGCCATTTATTGAGAAAACATTGTATGCCAAAAGGCTATGATATTCAAGAACAACAGATTAAGTACAAATCTAGAAATGGATTAGTAGTAATAGAAATATTATTATTCCAATTGTTAATTTAATATGATAAAATAGATCCAAATGATGTCCAGACCCTAGGTCCAGATCTATACTTATACTATGTAAACTTAATTTTACTCTGCCTTTTTTATAATCGTTCCGAGAAGACTTTCATAAACCAATCCTAACCTTCGCCTAGTTAGAGTAATTAAACTAATTCCCTTCGTCCACTCCTCGAGAGATACGACACTCGGAGAGAAAACTAACCCTTTACTTTCGTAGTTTCAACGCCACTATTTTGACCTTCTTGTCTTCGGGAATGTCTTTAAAGTCGAAGACGCGCTCAACAGTTTCCAACCACTCTAGGAATTCGTCGGGATCATTCTTCCCTTCAAAGGTGGGAAGGTCAACCTTGAAATCCGTGGTTCCTTTCTCATGAGAGCTGCCTCCGGTGTTGGTGTTGGAGTCTTCCGTAGGGTTGTTTCCATCTCTTGTTCTTCATCACTCTCCTCGGGGGTATCTGCCATTCTTAACTTCATCTTGGTGAGTTGAGCTACTTGCTTGGCTAAGTATTCAACTTGAGCTTTTAGGGCAGCATTGGAGGCTTGAAGTTCTTCATTGGTGAGGGTTTGAGATTGGTTTGACATGGTGATAAGGAAGAAGATAATGGGCAGTAGGTTATGGCCGAATGGAAGGAAAACAAGGAAGAGGGAAGGAAGTGTGTTCTTGGTCCTTAAGGATGTAGAACAACCTGGCTTTGATACCAAATGTTGTATCTTAGCTTTGGGTGTTTTAGGAACACAGTGGTTTTAATATTGAGGAGGAGTGATAGTCGGTTATCTAAAAAGAGATAATCGATTATTGAAGGGTTCAGTTTCTTAAGGGATTTTGGCGGAGATTTTTTGAAAGGGGTAATAGTCGATTTACAAGGATATGTGAATCGATTATTGATGGCTGTAGATGTTTCACGTGAGTTGATAATCGATTTTACCAAGTGGATAATCGACTATAGGGCAGTTTCAGGGAACGAAAAGGAGGTATTTTAGTAAAGGGAGATAAACCAAGGAGGTCTAAGAGATATAACACACTCTTATCCTTTCTTGGGGTTGAAATCTAGACTTCAATTAAGATATAACACACTTAATGAAATTCTAGAACCTAACACTCACACTTAAGGAAACCAACCTTAAGATATAGAAATTAGGAATTTTAAAACAACACAACAAGTTGTATTATCTTGAAAATGGGATTACAAAAGTTGGGATACAGNACAAGCTCAAAAGAGGAAAGAACTAAGCAACTTCCTTAAACAAATATCTAGAATATTATCCAAATAATCAAATCATCTTATGGAATGAAAATCAAGTGTGATAGGTTTCTTGGGTTTGATATTTTCGGCCCTATTGGAAGACAAAAGGAAATGTGAGAATATTATGATTTAGAATGAATAAAATAAAAGGGATTTGGGATGAGATGGGTTCGTCCATATTATGGGACAAAGGGAAGGTTTGATGTGAGAATGATTTGGTTTATTGTGTAGGGAAATATATGGTGGTTGGGGGGGAGTGTATTCGGCCTGGAGGAAGAAAAACAAAGGATGGGAAAATCTCATGTTAGTTTGGTTTTTAATGAAGCAAAATATATGGTGGGTGAGCTCTCAAACCACAACATGTGTTCCTTGGCCTATTATTGATGTAAGTTCGGCCTAGCTTGGGGACATGTGGTCCCAAATGTTGGCTTGTCTACAAACTTAGAAAATGGTTGGTTTTTTGGGCTCTTGTGTTCGGCCAGGCTTCAATGAAAAAAGGAAAAGGGTTAAATAATGAAAGGAAGATATTTGGGATATTTATGAATGTTGAGAATGTGTGGGTCCATGGTGGGTGCAGGGTGGTTCGGCCAAAACAAAGGAAAGAAAGGGAAAAGGTTTGTGATGGGTTTTAAGGGGTTGGGTTTCAGATTTCATGGGCCTAAACATATCAAGGTTGGGTTGTATGGTTTTGGGGTGAGAAATTCATTCCAAAAAGGATTGTGACATTTGGACATTAATCCATTTATTTGTTTAAGTTCTTGAGAATTAGTTGTCGTAACCTCGGATATAACAGTCTTCCAACAACGATGTCGGTCAATGTACAAATGCTATTGAGCCAAGGTTGAAATTCCACAAAAATCTGGAACAACAATATAAACATCTCTACATCCATGTTCAACCTAAGCCAAAAGAAAATGCCTTTGGCAGAAAGTTTTTGGACAGCACTGTTGAACAGCGATGTCAGGCCACCTTTCATCCTTCAAGGCCAAGCCAGAACAGCGATGTTCAAGTAATGAACATCGATGTAGGCACCTGACCGTTGGAAGAAATTTATGGCTAAAACTTTCCAGGTTTGGAAGTCAACAGTCAAAACAACGATGTTGCCCTTTTGGACATCGCTGTTGGCTTGACCGTTCTTCCCAATTTGGCCTACCGTAACCGTTAGGTTACTGTTCCTGATTTGTGATTTTGAATTAAATCAACCCTAATCACCTCCCAACGGCTAATTAACCCTTTTCACTATAAATACAAGCCTAATCCTTCATATTTCTTTAAGAAAGAAAGCTCTAAACATCCTCTCTTTTTATTCTAAGTGTGTTCATTCTTTTATTAATTATTTTTAATATTTTGGCTATTTTAAGAGCCTTAAATTCCTGATTTTTATACACACACTTTGAGCTTGTGTTTCTAGTTTTATACTCTCATATTTATAATTTTCTATTGTATTTTTGAGAGGGTATAATTTCCTTCTACACCGGCTTAGTTTTGTTCTTCATTTTTATATTCTAGCCGTTGTGAATAATCCTCTTTTGTGTTCTTCAAACACACCTTCTTACGGTCGAGAACAGCCGTTAAATTCTCACATTGTAACGGTCAAGGATAGCCGTATAAATCCTTGGGTAAAGGTTCAAGGATAGCCTTTGAAATCCTTGGGGGAGTGGTAGAAGATAGCCATTAAATCTTCATTGTAAATGGTTCGAGATAGCCGTGGTGAAATCTAGGAGTGAATCCTATTGGCAAGGGTTGTTTGCAAAACTAGTGCGGTGCTTTGATGGAGTTCAAGAGGCCAGACTGAGTGGATTCGGAAATCCTTGAGGAGGAGCCTCGAGGTACTGGAGTAGAGAGTTCCTGAACCAGTATAAAATCGGTGTGCATTTTATTTACGCTTTTATTTTTGCATTTTATATATTGCTTCTGCATTTGCCAACACCATTTTTATTAACCTCCGAAACGATTTTAAAACGCCTTATTCACCCCCTCTAAGACGTGGGCACAACGTATAAATCGAATAACAATGCCAAACCTCCATGAAAACAAGATCAATTGAGCAAATCAAAGGCAAAGGAACTTGGCATGATGATGAATTGAAAATGAGAACCAAGAACCAAGAACGAAGACTTAGAAATTAGTTGAGTCGGTCTGAATGTGATCAAAACTGGAACAAACTTCTAAAACTTGGCTCTCTAGGCTCATTACATTTAAATACCCTTTTGCATCCTCAAAAATGTTTTTCACAAGTTTTAAATTAGCCTAAAACAGTTAGTGTTCGCCCAAACCAAAAACCAAACCATCCGGCGTTCAGCTTTCAGAAACTGGCATTCAGTTTCTAGAAACCGGCGTTCGGCATTGGGCTACCGGCGTTGGTTTTTGGCGTCCGAACCAACCAAGTGGTTTTTAACTTTTTATGATTGGTTTTTACTTCTAGGCACATTTAAGTAGTAGTCTCCAACAAAAAGACTTCAAAAACCACTTTTCATTTTTGGGCGTTTTATAAAAACCATGCGAAACGGCATGAACTTGGCTAGCAGTGGTTTTTACCTAAATGACGTAGTTTTAAGGATGGAGGTTAAGGGCAT